TCGAATCAAAAATTTATTGAAAAGCTTGTGTTAGAAACGTCGCTGAAATGAATTGCATGTAAAGCGTTTTGCAAGAATTTCGCACCTCGTTTAGCAAACCATTATAAACTGAAGTTACACTATTAACTAGTTATTCTGAAGGTGCTGTCTATGTCTATAACATATATAGAGTGAAAGTAGATATTATTCAGTCTCTTGAAGCGTGAACGTTTTGAAGTATGTTTATCTGTGCGACTAGTGGCTGGATATCCGTCAGCGTTCTTCTCTCTAAAGTGATATTACTCTGTCAATGAAGAATTCTGAAATTTTGTTGGTTTGAAATCTGTAGCGGCATAGGTGCATCCATACCATTTTGTTATTCTAGAAATCATATCATGCCTTTTATTCGCTCTACATGTTGCTCTTCCCTTTCGATGACTTTTACTGATTTTTACCTCATTCTTCCTGCATTCTTATCTTTTGTCTTACTTCCTCTTATCTTGATGTTTTGTTGTTTGGACCATTTAGGAGAAACTTCACTTCCTATGTTGACACTGACTGACTGAAGTAGAACTTTCAAAAGATAACCCAAATAATCAGAGTGGTATCGAATTCGGTCAACTTAATGTATTAGGTATGTCTAATAATTTTCAACATGAATAATCAGCAAATCGATCAAGATTGGAGATACATGGTTTTATTGCTACATAGTGATAATAATAACCGGTGTTTAACATTAAATTAAAGGTAATAATTTTGGTTTACCGAACTCCCATTTGTTGGCTGAGGACCGAGTATATCCCCCCAGGTAGTGCTCTTCGACCAGTATAAAGCATTTGCTGGACGTAATGTATCAACTGTGATCACAGTACTTGTACTAGGAACTATGCAATCAGTGTAAAAGCATTTGTAAAATGAAACCACCAGTCTTTGACTGTTGAATGCAGATGGATAAACTGGTGCTTTCACTGAAACAAGTATGAAAGGAGATAAAGAATTCAATGACATTTTAAATGCATAATAGGAATCTTGTAAACATAAATGTGTATGAAAAAATGCTTTTGTATACATAATCGTTATAAGCAGATGATAAAGTAACAGATGAAATGCTTGCGACATGGAAACACCATTTTCTTGCCTACAGTAGTGGTGATAAAAGAGACAGTTTAGTACGATTACTGGGTTAAATGAGATGAAGCTGCGTCTCACTATGTAGCTGTGATTAACAAATATAAATTTACTGGGGTTTCATGCATTAGCACTAGTCACTGAGGTTTATCCCCACCTGTTTCGCTTAGGAAACTTGGAAGAACGGATTTTGAGAAACTGACTACTCGAACATGTACTCAAGCAAAAATACAGTCCATCGCCATATCTTTATTAAACCGAACAACTAAGGTACATGACCATTTAAATATTTGGTTAACTAAAGCTGAAGAAATACGTTATGGTGAATGGAACGGTCTCCATAAATAATACAGTTTCGGGGGGAATTCAGATCAGAAATACAGACAATATCTTTCTCCATGCCTGCATAACAGGCTAGGCTCCGTGGTTATTCACACATCAAAGTAACACTGTAACAAAGTAACTGGTGTAAATAACGCCACCCTTTCCTGTATCATTTTCTGTCAATTATCCTAATCGTAGCATTTTCGTAATCCAATTAGAAAAACGGAGATGAATGAGATGGAAAATGACACTAGTCAATAAGTTGCTTTGGGCTCATTGCTTCTTTCCGTCCAAAAGTATCTTATAAGGGCTTTTTGTTTATTTGAGGAAGGAAGTCAAGTAAGTGTTCAGATTTTTGTATTCATCTTTGCTATTTGGACCTACAAGATAAAATTATGTGGGCAAGCAGTTGACTTCATTTTACAGATTGCATTGGTTTTAATAGGTCTTTCTATATGCCTAGCATAAATCTTACATATAACTTCAGAACTGATCCTTTCACTACTCAGAATTCCAGCACATCACGTTTCCCTACGTTTTTAAAATTAGTATTCAGTTGAATAATTAGTAAGTTTGTGGACACTGGTTAGTTTCTCCAGAAAATACAGTTAAACATGTTTTATTTCCCTGAATACAACTTAAGAACAACTCAGAATACTATAGACTACACAGAATTTATAAGAGAAATATATTGTACAGTCTCACTGGGATAGAAAAACAAATTTCTGACATTTCGGCGACCTCTTGGAAGCCGCTCCTCAGAGAATAAAACCTGTACAAGTTATCGTATGTTTAAATAGTAAGTGGAGACAAATCAGATCACGTTGTTCACATAATAATATAGGAATAAATGTCATCATTATCATTTAGCTGTCGGTGGGTTCAATGTGAAGATGTGAATGTGTGCACCTGGGAATGGGTGTTAAAGTGGAGTGACTTTAAAGACCACCCTAATAATACTCTAGGTAGTCAATTATGAAAAACCGCATTCTTAGGGATAATACGACACCTGATTGGTTATTTTTGCATTCGCTAGATTGGCTTTAAAAGACGCCTGAATTTGTAAGGAGAATGATGAATGAGAGATTTAGTTTGTTTGTGTGTGTGTGTACTTTGGTTATTGCTAGTATGTTAAATTCTAAATGCTGTCCAAGTTAGTGGCCATAACCTTTACTTTGAAAACGTCAAAAAGAATTCAGACAGGATATTCGAACTGCAAAACAAGACGGATAGATCAGTCACATTGCGCTGAGTCTTAGTACACTCATCAGAAAGGGAGGCCAACTATCCAACCAACTTCCAGAGTATTTATATCTATATAAGGCGTTTTTGCACATTAGCAATGACGAAAGTACACATAGGCACAACAACCTGAATTGCTCACTCATGTGACTTTTCTTACATTTTCATAGCCATTCACATGTGCACACACATTCACTCTTTACTAGAACTCACAAATTAATAGCTGACAGTGATGGCATTTATTTCCATATTATTATCATGTATGAACAACGTGATCTGATTTATCTCCGTTTCTATTTAAACGTGCGATAATTTACACAGGTTTTACTCTCTAACGAAGTGGCTTCCAAGAGGTTGCCAACTTCAGAAATTTATTTTTCTGCCTCACTGGGATTGTGCAAATACATTTCTTTTATAAAGCATTGACCCAATGCACAACGTAATCTATTCTGTCGGTCGAAATTTGATCCTGAAGTCTATGTAATCTTCACAAAATTGTTTGTCACTAACTTTGAATAGTATGGCTCATGGTCACTCAACAAACTAGTTCATACATGAATTAAATTTGCACGAAAAAACAACTTTGGGTGCTTGGAAATAAATCACACCACTAACTAATAGCTACGTAAAAGGTAGATTTTTAGTTGACAGGATGACCATAATATTTAAGTACAAAAACTAGGAATATATGAATGTTTTTAAAAGCCACCTAAGCATCAACCGAAATGACCAATTAGACTTCTCTATCTGCCTTTCCAGTTGAAGTGAAGAAACCTAATTGGTTATTTCGATCGTTGATAGGGTGGCCTTTAAAGTTACCCGGATATTTAAAGTGATTCTTTATGGATATAAACATGATCATGTCGCCTAAGGGGTAACATGTTTTGCTACTAACCCACCTAAATCTGATGTGTTGAAAGCACTTGAAACCCTATATGCTAAGCCTTTGATCTAAAATGTATGTTCATTCAAATTGGTAAATGTTCTCCCATAGATTTCAACGTCATACGGTTTAGGATTTTCGTATGCTGAATGAAATAATAACTCACGACTTATTTTAATCTACTTAGAAAGCTTTTTCTAAGTTGAGTGAACTTCTATGGTGAGTAGAACAGATGCATACATTCATACTCAGTTGACCAACATATATTTGAAGGCTTGAAACAAGTGAGCGACAACTGAGTTTTGCAACAAAACTGTTATGTCACAAAAGTTATGTCTGGTCAATTGTTCAGTCATAAAACTAAGCAAATTCGTTTAAAATGGGATCATTTGAGGTAGCATCTTTTTAACAAACTTCCATGCTAATGTACCTTGAAAGGAGTGTATTGGAAGTGCCAGACTAACAACTTTTAGGGAGATTGCAAGGGATACGATATATCACAGAAAAGGCATGATCCACCTTAATCTGATGTCCCGTATCTACTAGATGTGAGAGGATTGCACTGTTGATGCTCTTTTTCATTCCTTTCCCTAACCAACATGGCACGTGTTCACGAACGTGCATGGATAGAGCCCGTTGAGTACACCCAATGTAACTAGCTCCACAGAGCAGCTGAACTCATAAATGCACATTAAAGTGGCCATCATAGGTAACCTATCCTTCATTCGCTGTGTCAGTAATGGTTTGGTTGAGAGGCTGACAAAAAGTTTCGCTGCAATGAATGTCTTTTCGACTCATCTGCTCAATCGATGTGTTAAGGTATGTGAGGCAATATCACCTTTGAAACTTGTCTAAGATATGTAGGCTTCTTAGAAACATTTCCTTTCTTTATATTCTCTCCAGGTTTGGACATGAGTTATTTATGAAGTTTAGTGGATAACCATTTTGCTTCAATGTTATCCTCAGTTTAGTAATTTCTTCTTCAATACAGTCATCAGATCAAATGTTTCTTATTCTGTAACTCAGGCACTTGACCAGGTTTCTTTTATATTGAATCGGTGTGAAGCTATGAAAGTGGATATACTGACCAGTCCATATGTCCTTTCGAAAAAAAATTCCTTTTGACATATGCATCCGTTTTCCTAGTGAGTCGGACATCTAGGAATGGAATGCTATTCCCTTGTTCTTCCTGTCAGGTGAACTTCATAGCTGGTGGAACTTTATTGAAGGTATTCAAAAGATTATCTTTATTGTAACCAGTATTACAAATGATGAACGTATCATCTATATACCGGCAATGACAGTCTAGTTTATCAAGTGTGTCCTTAAGTTCGCCGTTTTCAAGTTTGACCAGAAAGATGTCCGGTAGTATAGGACATGGATTTATAATTGTGGGGCCTAAAGAAGTTATTCTTGCTCTGAATAATGTATTGGGATCTTTAACAGATAAATATGTTGAGTTACTGGAGGTTGTCCCATAGTTTCGTATGTGAAAGAATTAACCAGTAAATCTCTATGTTAGATATTTCCTAAATGTGACTGGAAAAATAAATGTTTTTCAAGAAATAGAGAAAAATACCAATGAACATTTTAAATGTCTGACATTTTTTGTGATTACAGTGAATTACCTATATATTCAACATATTTTCCTGTTTCATTATAGAAGATATCACCGTTGGAGTGTATAGTCGGATCCAGTGGCTCAGACATTGGTTGCTTAGGTGTTTGACCGGCAATAACTTGGACTCTGTCTGGTTTGACCTGCATTCCCGTATGACGAACAATGACATAATCGAATTGCTTTGAAAAAAATCAAATATATGATGAATTGACAGGAAAATATTTGAAATATTCTCTTTGCATATTTCATACGACTTTACACAACAAAAATATTTAAAAGTTTTCTGTTCGATAAATTTAAATTAGACAATCAGAAAACCGGTATTACAAGATATCACTTAGTAGTTTCTCCACAAAAGCATGATTTCGTAACACTGTTTATAAAATATGCACCAGTGGCACAATGGATGATGAAATTCTGTTCATGTATTCTGTTTCGAAGAGTAAGGGGTACGTGGGAAAATTCGTTTTATGGGATAAAAAGGGATAACTTGTTGAGAAGATGGTTACTGCAAGAAAAATCTGTTTTCTATAACTTACTATTTAGAAGTGACCAGATTATGCAACTGAGAGCCCAAAGGCTTCAGCTTTTTGTACGTCATCTCACTTCATTTAACGTCAAAGACACTTTTTCCTTTCAGCTCCAACAATTCAAGAGAGAAATCCTATTAGTTATGTCTCACGTGGTATCTGGAATTAGTCATGAACATATTTGTAATAAATATATCTACATAATTCTGCTAAAAAAACTACCAAAATGCTAAACTTATCATAATGTGAGGATATTCATTACAAATGTATCTGGATGGGTGAGGTTAAAAGTTATCCCCAGGTGTTATAAGTGTTTGCGTGAAAATACGTATTCTCTGTGTTTTGGAAGCACATATTTTGAAGTAAAAACTGCAATCGTAAATCCTTTATGCTGCAGTCTGAAGGCTCGGTTGACTTCTTTCGATTTGTGAGCATCATTCTTCATAAAGAAATGTATTTACATCGCAACTAGAAGGTAGAAGTGCAGGCAATACTTTACACATGAATAAACGGTGACAGAAGGTGTTTTAGAAACTACACAAATAGGTGAAAAATACATATAGCATACAGAAAACACGCGAATTGGTGCACAGAACGCTATATCCCATGACAAGCACGATAACACCTGGGGATAGCTTTTGGCCTCACCCTATCTGGATTAAACTGTTAAACTGTGCATAGTTGTATCTTATATTCGACCTTCAGTTGTGGGGAAGCATATTTACTTATAACTGACAGTAAAATGCAATACCGATGGGAAAAAATATGTTAAGTCAATAAACTGAACGAATGTTGTCTGTTGCCAAGTAAACTTATTGGCAATAACCAATTTCACTCGTTTCACATAACTCAAACCTAAAATTATAAGAGGTGACAGAAGTACTGTGGATTTACCACACATATGAAATCATATGTTCAAAAATGATGAATATTGGCCTTTGCCATTTTTCTTTGACCATTTGATCTATCATAATGATTCACTACTAACAGGTTCATTTATCTAACATAAATGAAAAATATAAGCAATTTATTAAACTCGGATAAGAAGCAGTGTAAAGTGAAGTCTAAGTGTGTTCAGGAAGAGAATCGAATCAATGATGAATGAAGAAATAAGTAGGAAGTGAACAGAATGAACGAAAGGGTGAATATACTATTGTACAGCGTATGGCTGTCATAAGACTGGATAGCAACAAGGAAATAACATAATCTTACATTATTTGTCTTCCAAATACCTTATTTACGATCAAAAAATTATTTTGTGAGATCCCTGCTTAAAAAAGAAAAACAGAATCTTAATTTATCCTAATCAAAAACATCTATCTTGCATGTAAAAGGGTTCAGTAAAATCTAGTTTTCATTTTCAAACATATTGAAACCATAACAAATAATTTCACAATGTATCAATAATACTCAGCGGTAAAATCCCTTCAGGATAGCCGTAAAAGCTATGGTTAACATATATGTATGAATGCATGTTTCGAGAGTAGCTGTCATAACTGATTGACAGCAGCTGATAAACCACTAGAAAGCCAGGGACTTATGAACAGTTATACTCTTCTTGTTTGTGACTCCTCGGTAGCTTGTACTGAAGACGCTGTGAAGTGTCGAGTTCAGGCCTGGCATACTTCACAGTGACAACTTAACTATTCAGCTACTGAAGTGAAATTCAGTGGTCCACATTTCCTTACTTGTGTCAATTCATGAAATATTGTAACCCTACAATTCATAGTTTCCCATTATAATTAGGAGGGATTCCTCTCATGGGCATGCACTACTAATGAGTTCAAAACAAGAAAAAAATAGTTATCTGATGTCTTGAAATTTTCAAAGACAAAGCAACTGATATCAATTCATGAAGAAAATTCCCTTGAAACAGATACATTTTCAACGAAATAACCAGATAAATAACAATGTTTATTACAACAAACATGATACTGAGACCACTGTCAATAATGGTTTATCGTAACTCAGTTTTCATATGCATTCCTCAGTTTAGAGAAAATATTGCCATACGCATTTGTATTCAAAGAACCCTCTTATGAACGAAGCAAGCGCCCAAGTAAATCGTTAAGTATGTATTAAGGTAAACATATCTGTCGAATATTATTAGTAGTGCAGGACTAAGTTGGTATGAGTTGTGATTATCTACCATCACTATTACGCTTACTTATATTGATATCTGTACTTGTCAAAACCCATCAAACGATGCACTGGAGAACTTCTGATCTAACAGATGAGTAAGTGAAACACTGCACACGTTTTATTTCATCTTTCATTTTAATTCAGAGACAAGATGATGATGATTCCGAACAACATATTTATTATGGTGTGATTGACTGAATTAAAGTTCAGTTGGTCGATATAAATAGCTCTTATCAGTAGTGTATGCAAGAAGAACAGTGTATCGAGACAGGAAATGAAAGATAACCGAATGATCTCGGTCATCGATCCAGAAGTTAGCTACTGAACTATAAGATTCAATTTCTAACCAAATCTAATTTTTACTCCAATCTTCGACAGCTGGACATAGCTCTGAATGATTGAAATAAAATAGAGGACCGGTTAACAGCTGAGTCTGGTAGCTTAGTCAATAGAGCACTGGGGAACTCATCTAGAGGCTACTGGTTCGAATTTTGTTATGATTCAGGTTTTTCTCTGAAAATAAGTCATCGCTCAATATGGAATGGTTTACTCTACTAAGGTAAGTGATATGAGAAAAGGATCGGTGATTGTCGTGCATATGCTGACCTGTATTCACAATAATTAATAGCATAAGGCGATGACTCTAAAATCAAACACATTTAAGTAGTGGGACAAATTTATGAAAGGACCTTAGTTAATCCTGTGAAAGCTAAATACACAGAACAAGACTAATTGAATTTCTATTTACGATAGTTGTATTTCATTATTTGTATTATCCACTACCCACTTTTATTCCTTTTAATTTATCCTGAATATAATGCAAATCGTACGAAACATGCATGAACTGATTACTGAATACAATTTTACTTCAAAATATTCAGTAAACGATACGCGTTGAAATAGTGGTAAAATATAATACACTATCTTCAGTGACTATTCAACGTTTTTCAACAAACTGAAATGGAAGTATGTAGAAGATTGGAAAGATTAATCTTTTGCTTTCCTTTATTTTCTCCACAAAAGTGCTGGTTTGTGAAAGGAAACCACCAATCAGTATTCTCCTGCGCTGCTGAAAACACTGATAGTGCTATAAAAGCTTAGTCTAAACACACTTAATTTCTAACAAGTTGAATGTTTACAGTCTCCCGAAAATATGGGAAGAAAAGAAGAGTTGATGACTTGAACTCTTTTTTCCTTGAAAGAAACTAATTGGGTTGCATATCGATGAAAGTTAAAACCTTGGTAGTATATAAACACTCAGGCATTATTCAGTCAAACACTGAGTTTCAAAGAAACGAAGGATTGCTTAGTTATCCAACAACCATAGACTGTTTACATCCTTGTTAAAGTTGTACTGCTGTTATAGTTTTTCCGTATTGGGAAACCTGGTGAAAAGTATATTGTTTCGTCATGTCAAAGAGTGGGGACTCTGATTGCTGCAAGAACTGAGATGGACTGGGTCACAAGGAACATCAAAGATGAAATAAAGTTGTATAGATTTCTAGGTAGCTAGTTTCAGTACTGTCAGCGGGAGTTTACAGATAGCAAAATGAAGAACAGTTAGTTCCAACACTTGTTTTATCAATTTTCTTAAAATACTCATGTGAATACACGTGTCCCTCATTCACATCAATACCGGATGAAAAATCCAGTGACTTAAGTAACACTGAGCTGAAATTTGCCCATAAGTCAAGTAGGTCACTTGAAAGAGTGCCAGGTAGGCAATCCAGAGGTTACAGAATCGGATCTTGTCTCAAGTCAAACTTTCTGCTAGCTTCAGTGATCATTGCCTAAAAGTACTAAGCTGAGATATTGTGTCAAATATGCAGCACATTAATAAGATATCACCTGTGATTGCCGATCAGCTTCTTTTTTTCTTAGCCTCACAACTGAAGCGAATTGGCCTGCAAAGTGACTTACTTTACAGATAAATTCTATTCTACTATCACTGATTTAAATGTAAATGACAGAATACTACAGTTAGGTGTGATAATTTATATTCGAACAAAGTAAACCATTTCCATGTCCTGTTATACATCAAATGTAAGTCAACCAGTTCGACGGATAAGACTGATACTATATGCAGACTACTTGTCATAGTAACTAGTATTACCTGCGTTAAGATTGTTTTAATTTATAACCCAATTATGCTCATTTTACTTCACTTTATGAACTGTTATCGACATACATGTCTATGATGAATTTCATGTATCGTCAGTTCAGTGAAGAAGCAAACCATCTTCACAAAAGAAGTACGGAACGTAGAAATTTTAAAATGTAGTTATTATAAATTTGAGTGTTAGTTTATTTTCGGCACCTAGTATCCATAATGAAAGCGTGTGAGTAGTCTAATTGGTATCGTTTTATCACAACACATTGCCTTTGGAAATTCTCGCTAAATCTAACTACTCAAATTTGTCATCAAATCTGAAGGGAATCCTTTCTATAGGTTATTAACCTGTTTAACGACATGCTTTAGATCTGGTGGGATAAACAAAATCACGCGA